GATAGAGGTTGTTTTGTGTTGTCATATCTTTCTTGGAAGTTATATCATTACATACTTTCAGACATTTTTAAAAAAAGACTGCAACACAGATTACAATTCAGTCAGTAGTGTCAATGAGACTGCTCAATTCAAGTGCCCTTAGCTTTGCTTCATCTCTGATTTTCACAACCAAGTCAAATACCTTTCTGTCTTGAGGGTGAATTCTTTCACACAGACGCATCACTGTCCCATTTCTTTCATTCCTAAACTGCAAGAAGGGTCCTTGAGAAGGGAGATTTCTGGGCCATAGCTGCTGTAGTTTTCTGCAGCATGAGAGCAGCTCTTCTCCATTTCAACACGAATCATAACCTAATATACCACAGGACTCATTAACCAAGGTGGTCTCAAACTTCTAGAAGGTCTCTAATAGGGAGGAGTGGAATTGCTGACTTGCCCAGCTTTTACGTACATCCAGAGGCACACCAACTCCTACATAGCTCCTTAGGAAACTTTGAACAAAGGGGAGTGACATAGAGTAACACGGACTGGTGTAACCAACCAGTTCCTCCCGCTTTCTTACAAGACTGACCATCTAGAAGTTGGATGTCCTTAAAGCCAAGTAGCTACATGAATTACCCTCAGGAGGGTGAGAAAAGCAGAGGTGCTATTCAGGCTGAACCAAGAACTCAGCACTCACTTCAGAGCAGGTGAAGCTCCTTACATAAAGCTCTGAAATCAGGCAAATATGATTCATGTTTGGTTTGTAGCTTCCAGGCATAGAGTTTCTAAGTGTATTTGTTGTTAAATAAATACAGACACCAAGTTCAAGGCACACTACCGCAAAGCTGTTAGATTGTTTGTTCTCCTGAATTATGCATTACTTTCAGTTGGCATGCAATTTTTCTAATGCAAGTACCCCACAAAGCCCCAAATTCCAGCATGTCTATATGCCATATGGACAAGCTTCTCCAACCGTCTGCTCCTCATGGAAATTCTATTTGTTTTCCTATTGATTTTATTATGTTTAACAGCATACTAAATCATTCCTGAGGTTGACAAGTTTCTGGAAAATTGATATATGCTGTCTGAAACTGCCTGAGGCAGGAATAAAACCAAAACAAATGGCTTCTTTTAAACTCTTGATTTGCATTACTACAGCCAGGCATACAAGTGCCATCTTGTTTAGTAGAAGAATTCTTCTCCTTTGTGTAACATCTAAAGCACAGGAAATCTTTAGAAGCTCTTCTTATGGGTCTGCATATCGGAGGAAGGTGATTGCAAAATACCAGGCTATTTGAGTGATGGTAGGACTGAAAAAGCAGATTATCAGCTAAGATCAATGGGCTAGATTCTCCTGTGGAGATGTGGAACAGTGAGTAGATGCCTTGGAATCTACAGCTTAAGGCAAAGGTAAAATTTTTAGTAATATTTAAAGACTTGTATTTAATTCCTCCCCTGAGAAACTGTACTTTGAAGCATTTAAGTAAGATTTAAGTAAGGAGGAAGCAGGGTTTTTTGTTTGTTTTAAATCTTGGAGGCATCACCATTAAGCACTACAGAATTTGTTCCGAAGACTGGACTGCATCATGAAGAGCATCTCAAATGGGAAAAAGCACCCAGACAGTAATTTTTTCTTGGTTCAGAAACTAAAGGGGGAGATGAAGTAGAGAAAACAGTCTTGATGCTTTGATGTCAGAAATCTGAAAACCAAAAGAGTTCATGATGAAAACTGATTAAGGAGAATTTTAAAATCTGAAGACAAAGATCTGACAAAACCTGAGAAGGTCATATGAACACGTATTCCTCCTTGCTAGACTCTCATTAGGCTGTTATAATGGCTGTGTTCTGGCAAAGAAAAAAAAAAGAACTTGCAAAGAAAAAATATTTCAGTGGGAAGTAGTTAAGACACTGAATTAGCTGACAATAATGGGATTACATTTGCAGAGCTGCAGACATTTAAGACATTGTTAATCATAAATTTCCCATTTTGGTGTGATTAAAAACTTTCAGAGAGACACATGACATTTCCCAATAGTCTTCGTGATGCCACAGAATAAGTTTCTGAGTTTCACTAAGAGAAGCCAAACTAGCTCTTGAGTACATAAGTTGATTTGTAGGTGTGATGGGTTTGCCCTTAGCTGGGGGCCAAACCACACACCCACTCACCCAATCCCCCACCCAAGGATAGGGGAGAGAGTTAAAAGGGTAAAGGGAAAAAAGGACTTGTGGGTTGAGATAAGAACAATTTAATAACTAAACTACAATAATATTGAAAATAATAGTATATACAAATATACAAATGAGTGATACACAGTGACACTGCCCCTACACCCAATGACCAAGGCTCAGCCTGTTCCTGGCTAATGATCCTGAAGCAGGGAGAGTCCCGAAACGGCACTCACGGAAGGGAGAGAACAGGCCGAGCGTCCCAGACCGAGAGCTGACCGGGGTGGCGGGGGGGAAAGGCCTTGGGAGAGCGACCATCTGGAGTGAGATGACCCGGAGCAAAAGAGATCCGGAACCAAAAGGGACGATCTTCCGGAGGGGCGCCACCTATATACCGGGCATGGCGTGTAAGTTATGGAATAGATTATTGGCCACTCTGGGTCTCAGTCCTGAACCTAAGATCAAATCCTGGGCTAGTAACTGGGGCTGTGCTCCCTCCCAGCTTCTCCAGTCTGCAGACAGCCAGAGAAGCTGAAAGACCTTGGCAGCCATGTAAACATCACTTTTTATCAGCTTTCCTCTGAGCACAAATCCAAAACACAGCCTCTTACTAGCTATTATGAAGAAAGTTAACTCTGTCTCAGCTTAACCCAGGACAGTAGGTCAGTCCTCTGTGTAAAGCAAGAAGCCTCCTGTGAATTAACAGTGAGAAAAACAGTCTCCAGGAGATGTCTTTCATTTAGAGAATTTGATGATCATCCAAAAGACACACACAAAAATGCAGAAGATGCTAGAGTTCTGATGATATTAAAGGTGAAAAAAATTAATGCCAGTAACAAAAAAAAAAAATAGTACAAAGAGAAAAATCTTCATTTTAGCCATTGAAACAAGTTTCAGGAGCAGTTCAAGTTTATCTCCTTCTTAGAGAAGGCCTAGCGAATTCAGTTCATTTGCTAATTACTTAGTTACTGTAGAGACCATGTATAAAGCTCAGCAGAACTTAGATAATTCTACTAATGGAGATAGCAGAAAATACTGCAGCATTATCAGCGAACGCATCACTTGCAGAAGAAAAAAAATAATAGCTTGTTTGCTTTGCATCTGTGTTTTCAAAGACAGTAACACAGTATCACAGTTTCTAATTTCATACCAACAAAATCTACTTTGCAGAATATTACAGGAAAATTTTAAAAGGCCTGAGAAACATGATTCCAAGCTGTGCTGACCTTCACATCATAGAGCATGGTCTTTTTTTCTTCAGTGGACAAATGCAGTGAAGCTAGCAAAATCTGTTTCCTTTTTTTCCATCTGCTAAATCATTCCATAATCTCCCAAATACACTGTCTACAGCTCGCTCTTAACTTTGAAAATTAAAGCAGAGCATGGAGATTAAATGATGCCAACCTTTTCCTAACCAATATATAGTCCCTGTGCCAACTGCTATTTGGAAATTCGTAGTTAGAAACCTTGTCATCAAAGATGTTTGACACTCACTATAGGTATTTTCTGTGGTCGTCATTAAAGACAGGAGTTTCTGCCAACTTACAAGTGAGTTTGATGACCTCAAAGGAATAAGTGTCCAATACACCAAAAATTCCCTGGAAAGGCCACATACAACTGCTCTTGCTGGAGGTTCTTCTGCCAGTATACCATTGCCTGTCCTTCGCAAAATTGGCCAAACTGGTAAACCCTTTGAAACACCACCAAAACAAAAAGTCTCTAGGTGGAAGCAACAAACCTCATGAGGTAGGCACTCTTAGCAGGAAGCAAGCAGCCTTATTAAAACAGAAGTCTAGAAAAGCTTTGCAAGCATCTACAAACAGTAAAAAGTCTTTTATAGAGAATCATGCCTTCATGAGCACAGTGTATGAAGACAAGTGTTGAAAAATTGTTCTCCACTCAAAACAGGCAGAAAAATACATTATATGAAAGATGGAAAAAAAATTAATGTCAAGTTAAAGGGGTCCAAGACAGACTAGAACTATTTTATTAAATCAGGAACAACATCAGGCCACGGGCTATAGTCTGGTATTAAATCTCAGCAAAATGCATACCGTTCAGAAGGTCAGACAAGTGCATCCTCATAAGCCGCATCCTTAAGCTGAAGTGTTACTCATGGAGTACATGTTGGAAAGAAAGAGAACTAGGACTGTTAAATCACTTATAGAACCAGTACACTGAGAAAAGATGGCCAGAAATGTTTTTATTTTGCACAAGTATAGGATAACATAAATATCTTTTGACACCTTTGAGCAAAGTTCCTTAATCCACAACGTACATTCAAGTGTGGTAATCAATGACAACTGAACAAGCAATAATATGATAGGTAAACAGACCTAATAATGTTGCTCAAATAAATTAAAGCCAAATATTTCTGAACCATCAATAGTATTAGCAGCTGCTCTTTTTTCAGTCTACTTTTGAAGCGACATCATCACCAACTAACTTAAAAAGATCACTTTTTTCTACAACTAGGGATCTTCTTCTCAACCAGAAAACAGGCAAACTGAATGGCTGTTCTTGGAAGGGGAGCAGTAGATGTGTCTGCTTGTGCAGTACTAAAGATTGAGACAGAAAATCTCGCACAGACAGAACAGATAAGAGATCTGCCTGACAGCCCACTGGAATTTCATTTGCTCTGCAGACAAAATAACAAGGTTGCTTGGAGGTAATCCAATAAACTGTTCCAACAATTATTAACAAAAGCATTCAAGAAAAGCGGAAAAACGGTAAGATTAAAAAAAAAACCCACAAGGCTTCAAAATTTGTTCATTTTCAACACTCATAAATTTCTGAAGCTCCAGAACCTTGCTGACATTACTTAACCTTTAAAATGAAGGCTCAATCATAAAATACCCTCTCATAAAACACGAATAAGATCCAATGTTATCCTCAATCGAGGAATATCTACATTAAGCACTTTAACTTCCACTCTTTCTCCAGGACCTAACCCCAGGCTTCTTCTCTTCTTCACTTTAGAAAGTTTTGCTTCTGTTATATTTCGGGCTGGAATCAAACCTGATTTTCCCACACCAATATCAACAAACACTCCAAATGGTGTCGCATTTTCAACTTTTCCAGTCAGAACAGTACCAACACTTAAGTCTTCAAAGCAGACTATGCTTCTCTTGAAGTCAGGTTTATCAAAATCTGTTATAAGAAACAAGAAACAAAAATAAGACACTGGAGAACAAGCTTACATTATTTTCTAAGAGTTGTTTTCAGCCAATTGTTTCTAATTAAGAAGCCATTCCAAGGCAGCTCTGAGGTCCCAAATACTGCTTCATTTTTAAAATAAAGACCCATCTGTGATAAACAACTGATTTCTTGTATTTTATGGGTCACTTTAAAAGACACTGATTAAGGGAGTAATAAGTATAGTGAACTCCATGGTATGAAACTATCACAAGGGGATCACAAGTGTGTAGTATATTAGTTAGGGACAAAAAGGTTCTTTAAATTTTTTGGAGCTACGGAGAACAGTGACTCTTACTTGAGTTACACAAATTATACATTAAATTCTACCTCTATACAAATTTGTATACAGGAAGGTGAAAAGGTCTCATCACATGCTAAAGAGAAAAGTCAACAATGCACTGCATTTTTAAAATAATGTGATGAAATGATTCTATTTTTCCCTTTCCCCAAATAATTCTTCTCATTTTCCTTCGTAAAAAAATCATTCATGAAAAATAAACATTGAATTTCAACTAAATTTAAGACTATACATAGGAAAGCTACTCTCTGTCTGCAATTCCCTAACATCACATCTCTACTGTTGGTAACAACAAGTGAATTGAATCTTAAACCAAGATTATTTTTTGAATCAGGGTAGAGTACAAACTATTCAATCTGCCTGAGTCCTGTTAGATGTGATGCACTGACAGCCACTAGCAGGGTTAGAAAGACAATGAATTACAGCTATACAAGGCTATGAGGCTGCCTACTCCAGTCACAGAGTCTGTCTAGAGTAATACTGCATGTACTGGATGAGCAGAAGACTAATATTTCCACTGAAGATCCTCTTTTGCTTTTATATCTTGACATGTTAATAGTCTATCCTACTGTAACTTAGATGTGAGACCACCAGAGCAAATGGAGACATTGAAAACACACATTTTCAAGATCACTTGTGGGTAACATTTATAAAATCTGTATGGGAACTACTAATGAACCCAAAAAAGGGGGACAGAAATGTGTGGGGGGTTTTAAGCACAAGTTTATTATTTGTTATTACAAGCCTGCATCTTTGCTGCCTACTTTTATCTCTTGCTGTCGTAAGAGAATCCAGCTGTAAATTTCATTAAACAACAGCATCTCCAGATGTTCTACTTCATTGCTTACCTCATCTTTCTTCCCCTCCACCTCAAACTGTTGAGCACTACTGCAAAGTTTTAACCAAGGTAGGTCATAAGCCATGTGCTCCAATTACACTTGTCTCCAGGATGTAGTGTAATAAAAGAGCAGAACGACACACTACTGCTCCACAGACCTTTATTACTACTGGTTCAGCTTGGTCTCAGCATTCCTCTCCATGATGGAGAGCCAGCACAGATTTAATCAGTATAGAGTCAACATATTGAAACTATTTCATTTGTTAACAGCCATACAACTCCCCTTCCTACAGCTGAAAATGCCGTGATTTAAGACAGGATTCACACTCCTTACCTACTGAGCTGGAAAGAAACATCTGACTGAGTTATAGCCTTTACCTTGCCTGAGAAAAGAAATGGAGTTACATGTCCACAAAAATCTACTACTGATTTTAGAAGAAGAAAATGTGCTGGTTTAAAACTGGTATGTAGAACAATCAAACTGAGGTTACAACTTTAGAAACAAAGGTTTACCTGTTCGGATATCAAAGCCTTCAGGCTGAGTCAGACCATCAATTATCAGCTGCAGTGTGTGCACCGTTGTATTTAGCCTTTTGGCTGTGCCTTCCAGTCCTTCCTTTTGAATTACTGCATTTACTTTTTGCTGCATATTTGATTTTCCTATGTCATTTGCACTTCCTCCAATGAAAGATAAAAACCTGGAAAGTTCAAGGATAGAGAAATTTGTAACATCCTTTAATAGGAACTGAACCTTTGCTATATATTTAGGGGTTTTAATTACTTTTGCATTGATGCGTGAACAAAACTTCTGATAAAAAAATATGAACAGTGAACAGTTTCCCAAGCACGTATCCTCTCAACTCATCACTGATAAGAAACATACATAGAAACTTAGAGTCTATCTGTATACATGTATCTCCTGGAACAGATTATAAAACTAGAAGCAAAATTTCAAAATGAAAATCACTTCTCAGACCAATTATTTCATCTCATGCTAAAACCAAATCTGATTATGACTGAAAGATGTCTTTTAACATGAAAGTTCCCTAGAAATAAGTGAGAGTTCTATAACACTGTCATTTTTATTGTCACTTGCATTCAAATTAATGGCCATTTAGTAAAACAACAAAGAACATCTAAAATATTAAACTAATATGAAGAATCTTTAATCAAATTTAAGTAAAAGCTTTAAATAAAATACTTCTCTTGTCTATGAACTTCATGATTAAGAATAATTAGTTTTTCCAAAACTAGGAAATTATCAAGTCAAAGTAATTACACAACACAAACACCCTTATCCTTCCCTATTGTCACATACATACACATATTGCAGACTGAGACAACTTTGGAGTGGCATCTAAAAAGGCTGAAAAGAAATACTTTAAAGTAAATACGTTTTGATCTGTGATCTCATTTTTTAAAATAAAAGAAAAACCCCAAAAAACACTTACTGAGATTTTTAGTTCAGCATTGTTGGCACATATGCCAACAAGTGTAGAGAATAGACAACAAATTCACATGCAGACCCTGCTCTTTATTATCAGTAGTGATGCCTTAGACAATGTTTATTTATCACTGGAATAAGTGTCCTTACTTTACTGAAGGACTTAAAAATGTAAACCAAGTCTCTAATGGATATAAACCACTGAACATCAGGACGAAGCTCACAGAAGCTGAGGCACGTTGTACTAAATAAAACAATTTGTTCTTTTATCAGTAGATAGTTCTGTTACCTGTTCTGCATCTCACTGTGAATAAGCCCCTTCCACCCTGCTTTATCATGTCCCTCATTGTCAGAGGGAGGCACATGGTTTTTTGCGTGTTCTCCACCACAGCAGACAGGTAGAATTATTGTTCCTGCCCTCCAGAGTCTGAGTAAACATTCCTTCCAAATTCCTAAGAGAGACCCCTCCTCCCTGTCCTTATCCTGTTTCAGGACAGGTGGAAGCTACAAGCCACAGAAGCAGCACTGACCAGCAGGTTCATGTCCTGTGCTTGGGAGTGGTGGCAGGCATCCCAGCTCCCCAAGAAAGCAACAGCCCATGGTACTCAACCTCTTTTCCCCCTCAAAAACACACGTTGTGGTTTTATCAAAACCTGAGGCTAGTACTTCTTTTGGTAGGAGACACAGGGGGGTTTTTATTTGTTTTGCTGCTTTCTTTTTTTTTTAACCTGAGGAATCCAACTGACATTATTTCAGGTGGTGAGTTTTATGCACTGAAATACAGAATTAAATTGCTTTTTGAGAAAATACAAATTGAAGGAACATAATTAAAGCAATATTTGACTTTTAGTAAAGCATAAAATTCCTCTCTGAGCACAAAGGCAAATTTTCACTCCAAAATGTCCCCTAATTTTGCAAAAAGGAAGACATGCATTGAAACTGGCTGTCAGGACTTCACTTTTTTACTGAACTCAAATACAAGCATGGTGACTGAAAGTGTATTGTTAGTTCACATATTTGCACTTAATAGTGATAGATACAATTTTCACATTAATTTTCTTAATGCATCTTAACACAGATCTTTCACGGGGCAATGTATGAAGAAAAAAAATAAAAGATTCAGTGAATGATACTGTTGTCAGGATTTACTGAATTTTGTTCTGATTGACTGCATTTCAACTTTTGATATAACTTTTTCAAGTAGTTTGAGGTGATTTGGAAACAAAGTAAATATCAAAACAGATGCAAAATTGTTTATAATATTAAATACAAATCTTTATTTTCCATAAAGTAACAATGAAACACTACTACTTCTCAAATATTTTCTCTAATAAGAGCCTACATATGAAAAATGTCAGACCTTCTACGAAACCATCTTCTGTGGATCTCAAAAGAGCACTAAACAATACTGAAAATGCACATAGATCCAGGCAAAGTGCTCTCCACAAAACTACTGGGGGCTGCTGGCTGCTCACGTTGATGGATGGACAATGACCCACCACAGCACTAGTGACAGGCAGCAGCTGCCCCAGCTTTGACTGACATGCCAGATGCAACACGACAAACCCAAACAACCTCATGACTCAAACTTCTAAATAATGTATGCTTTACCTCCCGCCCCTATAAACAAGTTTGCTGACATTCACATACTTGGCTTTATTTCACTTCTAATGGAAATTCAGCTCAAGTATCTCCAAATAACATTTTTTCACCATTAGGATTTTGCAGAAGTGCATTCACTTTATAAATTGATAACAGGGTGGGTTTCGCAGCTAATATGTGCAACCACATGGAACAGCCACTGATGTGTTAAAAAAAGCCTCTTACGTACAAAACCGTTGACCATGTGGATAATGCAATCAGAATGCACAGTGCTACGTGCAGGCTGCTGGAAAGAAAACCAGCCTGAAACAGGACACAGTCCAGGTGCCTGAGCCCTCAATTACTGTTCATGAAAGTTATTTTGCCCTCCTTCTTCTGCCTCCCCCACCCTCCGGAAATCCCAATATTCTTCATCTAGGCAAGGGGGGTAGGTGTGGACCCTACATTATCAATTACAGTTGTTTAAATAACTTAACATAGGTACTGCTCAGAATAAAATTTTAGCTCCATCTGAAGATGATGCTTAAATATGTGCCCAAATCTAAGCACACCAAAAGTCCCACCTGCCTCGGCAGAAGTATTAATGCTCTAAAACACAAGCATTTGGCTAAGAATGTTTCAGAATTATGAGCTATACTATAGGCAGAACAGAGCACTGTAACAGGGCCCAGCGTGCACATACAGACAAAATAGTCCTTAACAGAAACAGTATCTTTCTATTTTGGAAATTCTCACCTTTTTAGGTTAGGTTTTGGTAAAAAGTGTATTAAAATATTTCTAAATAAAAGCAATTTCTTAGTGATTATAAATGTATTTTTAAAAATACAGTTGAATCTAGGTATATATTTAATGTATCATTTTCACTCAAATGACCATAGCCTGAGGGCAAATAGAATAAAAAAATCAATACACAGCACAGATCTCTGACTGAACAGTGGCCCATTATATTGGTCATTTCTATTTTTAAATGTCATTGCTAACAACAAAGTTAAATATTTCCTTATTAAAAAAGCAACCCAACAACTTCCTTTGAGAGTTATTCCAAGGTCAGAAAAAAAGGATATAGTCTGTAATAATTAGACTGGGATATGGCTATGGGGGGAAAAAGAGGTTTCTCTTAATTTACGTGTTTTGGTCTTCATAATGTTAAACTATCTCACCACAATTTTTGAAATATTTCACTTACTCAATTTGTAAATGACAGTTCCAGCTGCATAACATAGGAACACAAATCATCTGTGCAAAAATTAAAGCCCTTCAAGTATTTTCCTGGCTACATATGTGAACTAAATAACATGTTGTAGTAGTTCAAGTGCTATGTTTATCTACTAGAAAGATAAAACCTAAAGAAAAGTTAAGAGAAATGGAAATGGAAAAGACGAGATTTTTTTTTTTTTACGAAGTGAGGTCACTCTTTTAAGAGATACTATCCTTATTCCCTCAAATGTTGAGTGTCTGAGTGAATGGTGAACTTTCTGTTCAAGGTACATCAACTCAGATAAAAGCTGCCAGAGTTTTAGGAGAGTCCTTCAGCGCAGAGCAATATTTATCTGGTTTAGAGGCTGAGTTTTATGGTTTTGAGATTTAGAGGATACTAAACCACCTTAGTTTTAAAAGCAATCTTTGCAGTCTTACAGGGCCTGCAGAGAACAGTCATGGCTAAATCACTGATGTTTTTATTTAATACATAATTTCATCCATCTTACCCAGATAAAGAAAGAAAAGTAGCATAAATGTAACAAATAAGCACATCATGTTCACTTAACATACACATCTGCACAAAATTATAGCACAGCCCTTGCAATGCTTAAAAGATAATGCAAATTTCAGTGGAATGCAAAAAACAGTCAGAAAAGAGTAAAAATATTACCAAGGGAAGCCTTCAGTAAATTTTTAAGAAGTTACTTTAAACCCCTCAAAAAGCTTCTTATAATGTGCAGGAGTTCTAAAGCTTTGCATGGGTTTTAGTCACAGTCATTTCTGTTTTATGTAATCATTTCCAGCAACACAACTTAAGAGCTGGGAGTACTGGATTCATTACATTAAAGCAATATGATACACCATTACATCTTGTCACAGTGCACACATGAATTAATGGTAATGCACCATAATCACTCTGAAAACAAAACAACTTTGCATTAGCATGTGCTTTGTTAGGTAAAATGTACATTCACGACAGCAGCAAACTTCAATTATGCAGACATTTCTGTTTCAGTAACATTTTGAAATGCAAAAGCATTATCTGGGTAATGCAGATGTTGACTGTTCTTGTTCTCACTAGTCATGCAGATTCTCAATTTTTGACTAGTGAGCAGATTACATATACCAAACAATATTTGTGTATTACTCTGTAATTAGTTGCTGGACACAAAGTTAAAGTTTCAAATATATTTCAAACTACTTAGCTGGTTTAGCCAGATAAAGGTACGTAACCAGTATGTTTTTCCTCAAATGCATAAATTATTAATATTATAGATTATCTGACTGCATGCAAAAAAACCAGAAAACACTCAGTTTATGACATTTTGAATGTATACATCTAAGAAACAATGAGTTTCTAAATGAAAAGCAATTCAGACAGTTACACTGCAGCATAGCCCCTTTGCTACCATGCTGGTAGCTGTTCTCATGACTACCACTGTATCACATAGC